CGCCGCCGCCAGCCGCCGCCGTCCCCAGCCTCCCCCGGCGGGAGGAGAGCGCCCGGAGAGCACTTTTCCCCCGACTTTAGGAGTGTTTGTGGATTTACATGCCAAGCCTTCAAGATGATGTCCATGAACAGCAAACAGCCACATTTTGCCATGCATCCCACCCTACCTGAGCACAAATACCCCTCTCTACACTCCAGCTCGGAAGCAATAAGAAGAGCATGTCTACCAACTCCACCGGTAAGGGACAGGCAGCTGCAGCGCTCTTCTTTCTTTCTTTTCTTTCTCTCTCTCTCTCTTACACACAGACACACACTCTTCCTTTCTCTCTCTCTCTTTTCTGTATACTGCATGTATGTGTATGTGCATTAATAAAAAAATCGCTGCGAGGCACATTTTGACAAGCGGCGCTTAATGTTTTTTTCATGTCTTCCTCTGCAATCATCTGAGCGCCTGTGATCTTTTTTGAAAGCGGCGTTCACACGAGTCTTCGACTTCATCCACTTTCTGTATTAATTTTTATGACTCGGCCTCTAAAAAGAAATGTTCTTTATGTGCTCTCGTGTTTGATACAATTCCCCAGCGGAGAGTTACAGATCCATTTCTTCTTCTCCTTTCTCTTCTTCTTTCGTTCCTTTTTATTATTATTATTATTTATTATTATTTATTTGTTCCCTTCATGCCCTCTTCCTCTCTTCTTTTGATTCCACCCCCCTGCTCCCGGCTGCCTGCTCTTCCTACTCCTCGCTTCTCCTTTTCCTCTTTTGCTCCCCCTCCTCGCTTTCCCTCCTGTTATCCCACCCCATCCCCTATTTCCCCTCACTTCCCTGTGCTGTCTCCTGCTACACCCCGCTTCCGCCATTCACTTGGCTCTCTGTCCCCCCCGTACCTCTTTACACGCACATGCTGCTTCTGGCCCCCATCTCGCTGTCACCCCAACTTTGCCCACTTTTCTCTCCCCTCCCGGGCTCCCCTCCCTCGACTTTTCTCCCTGCTTCCTCACCGCATGCCCCATCCCTCTCAACCCCCGCGCTTCCCCTCTCTTCGCTTTGCTCCCTCTCTGCCCCCCTCCCTGGCGCCCTCCTGCTCTCCTCTCCCCGCACCCCTGCTCTGTTTTGTGTCCCTTGCAGCTGCAGAGCAATATCTTCGCCAGCCTCGATGAGACCCTGCTGGCGCGGGCCGAGGCTCTGGCCGCCGTCGCCCTCGC